TATTTTTCAAGGTAAATACATCTTCCCAACATGAAATTTTCAATAATTATTTGTGAAAACGTTTTTTAGTAATCTTTTTAAAATATCAATTTGCTGAAATTGTATCAGTTAGAGCATTAAAGCAAAGAGTCTTCTGTTAAATAGTACAGTGTTTTGTCCAACATCTAAGTCAAAATTTTTCTAGTTTGTCGAATAAATGTCAGTCTGACTGCTCACTGTTTCTGAACAATTTTAGTAATTTTTTAAACATAAGAATCATGTGAACAATAATTTAATGAATCTTATCAAAATCGATGAAGTTTGTACAATGGTTCCATTCTAAGATATCAATTACTTTTCAAGATATCATTGGTTTTCTTAAACAACAGAAGAACATGTTCAATAAGAGAAATTCTCATAGATATATTTCGCGAATAGAAAAGTCATGAATACAAATCATATTAGATGTTTTTTGTCTCAGCAAAATCCAATCAGAAATTCGAAACATTGAATCATTTGAGTAATTCTTTTCTGAATCAACAGATAAAAAAAGGAACAACATTAAAATCTTTGATAGTAGGTAAGAAAAAAATTCGAAATGAATGACTACTCGTTTAAAAACACACAGCAAATCAACTACTTTTTTCATTAGATAAAAGTTAATGGCACAGACTTGTTCTTACTTAAGAGCCTTGGGTCAACACGGATCTACAACGTAAAATGTTATTGCTTAACATAGCTTTGAAAATGCCTTTAAAGTCTAATATAAAAACCTGGAACTACGAAATATAATATCAAGGGAACTAATAATGTTGGCTGTAATTATACAGTTGATGAGTTTTATAGAAAAACTATTGAAGTGGAATAAATTGCTCATAGTCTAATGAAAAATAAGATCTATTTAAGCAAACATTCAACTCATTTCATTTGACCGTGATAACTTTTAAACTATATAACAGGCCAACATAGTTTCAACCAGTATTACTCTTGGAGGTTTTTCAATTAGTTCTATTATATTCAAAAAGAATGTGTATATAAATTTGGCTTTTTCATTTTGATTAATCTAAATAAAATTTATAAAATTCAAGAAAATACACACAAAGAAAATGAAATAGTTAGTTTAATCAGCAATATAAATCACTTGATGTTTTGCTAATAGATCAATATCTTTTTCTAGTAGTTGCATTTGATGTTCAAGACGTTCTTTATATAATCGTTTTGGAATTGTATCAATAATAACTGAAAGTGTTTGATATTCATGATGAACATCTTCCCATTGTTTTTTCAAACCTAAATGTATAAAAAAACTGTTATCGGAATCTCTGTGGAATTGAAATGTGAAACACGATATAGCGGCTGTTGCTAATCCCATGAGATTAACTTTATTCGTTCTATTTTCGGACACACTTCTTTCTTCATCATTTTACTTAATGCTCTAGAAATGCAACAAGAAAGTAGTTCAAATACTAGAATGAACCGTTATTGATATATGGTCTGTACTGATCTCTGACCCTTGCCTGCTATAGTCTGTGGAAGGATAGGATTCGAATTTCTACCCTATATTCTTCAACATTTTCTTAAGATCGTGTTTCACAAAATAATTAATTCGAAACTAAGAAAAGCTCATTTTTTTTCTGTAAACAAACCATCAATAATTGTTTGTCTTTCATTATTATCCATTTCACGCATGGCTCCACGACGAAAATAATCTGAAACATAAGTTTGATATTCTTGTTTAGCTTTTTCCATATCTTCTCGACGTGATTTTATATAAACAGGTACTTCACCAAAATCCTAAATATTAATTATTATGAATAAACAAATTAATCAAAAAAAAACTATAACTAAAAAAGAAAAAGAAATACTTTTTTTAGCGTGTATTTTGGTGTTAAACCACTTGGATCAATAGGAAATTTATCACCATGTCGATCATCAACAATATTTCGTCCGGGTTTTTTTGGTACTGTCATAACAACATCAAGTGCATTTGTTTGAATGAAATTTTTTTCTGTTCGTGCACCCATTTTAGGAGCATCACGAATACTTGGAACAGGTGGTTTACTTTGTGAACGATCTTTCCTTGATGATGTGTCTTTATCTATATGAAAGAGAAATGTTTGCTTTTAAGAAAATCAAAAAAAAAAAAACGAACGGAAAATTTACGATTATTAGAAGCATTCTGTTTGGTAGTATTTTGATGTTTTTTAAGAAAATGTTGTGGATCAGGAACTGGTTCTTCAGCATAACCCATTGTTCGATGTTCATATTTGCCTTCTTTAAATGATTCACGAACATTTTGATTAAACTTTGATACATAACTATTATAGAAAACTAATTTAATAAAGAATAAAAATTATCGATTAAAATATACCCAGATGTTTTTGGTACATGTACTTCAGTTCGTGGTATCAAATTATAGACTGATTCTTCCTGTTGATTTTTATTATTTTGTTCGACTACCATTTTTTTTTTTTATTATACTTTTTTCAGAAAATAATACGATCAAATGATCATAAAGAATTATTGATCATTATAACATATCAATATGTTGATGTTTCTAAGCAACATTTTAATCAAAATGAAATCTTAGTTGAGTCATATAATAATTCAAATAAATGAAAGAATATATTAGCCATTTAATTATTTCATTACAATCTTATTTTAAAACGTTTTTGTGAACTTTTTGGGAGGCCGCTAGTTTACAGATATTTTATTAAAATAAACTATAGCTGCACGTGTTTGACAATCATCAAATTATCATCTAATGACGAGACTAAGTTTTTTTTAATAGGAGAACAAGTGCACCTTAGTCTTTCTACGGGAACGACTTCGGCTACAAAGCTAAAAACTCTCCGGCAGAAGGAGCTCAGCTTCCTTTTGTGTGCCTTGTGGTGCAGCCACTAGTACTGTCATTGACTGTACCGGTAATTTTAACATAAAGAAGTGTGTCAAATTGACACAAATTTATTCTATTTATTGAGATTTTTATTTTATTTCATTAAAGAAAAATCAAAAAACAGTTTAAATAATCTTTTTCGAAATTGTGAACAGATACTATGTATTACAAATAAGTAATAATTGTAGAAAAATTGCAACTAAACAGAAATATTCAAATGAATATGTCTCGTCATGAATGTTTTCGAATTTTTTTAAATTTGATCATTGAAGACATCGATGTACACTCTCTGAATGAAAGAAATAACACGCTTAATAGTTTATATCTTCATCAAACAATAAAAATATCGATCACAGAGTTGCCGACTTGTCTGATGCCTATCAGGCTATCTGCCAAGCCAAGTCAAAGTCATTGATCTGAATCTTAGATTTTAGAAATCAAGGATTGATTTGTTACCGTATTATTTGAAAATAATTAGACAAGTGTACTTGATTCCAGCAACAAATGCTCGAATCGAATGTCAAATTACTGTTGCAGTACTTACTTTGACTAACAGAAGAACTTGTTTAGATCTAAAATAGTTGGATAGAATGTTTAAAGCGAAAACTGATTGTCTAATTTAAGAATTCTTGCGTATAATTATTAGTGTCATTTATTCCCTAGATTTTTGTTATATGCCTCATCATATATTATTTTTTGTTAACAAGATTACCTTGTTTTGATTATGCCAAACGATATTGATATAATCAAAAACATGACGTTAATTCAAGCCTTTATTGCATAAAAAAATATTCACAATTATTTTCTCTTTATTTTTATTTGCTATATCATACAAGAAATTTATATTATCTTATCTTTATGGAAATAAATCAAGTGAACAACTGACACTAGAATAATACATTAACTGAAGAGTAGTGGAATTATATTTATTTGAAAAATTATAAACATTCATCAGCATGCTCTGGTCTGTAGGTAGCTCTAATTGAATATATCTGCATCAAATGAAAATATGATGATTTAAGAAAATAATAATTAAACATATGTTTATTGAAGAAAGATTCCATTTAATCCAATATTGTATTTTTTGTTCTGCGCTTGGAAAGGAAATCAGGAATTGAACTTTATATTCATTTTATTCTTAATCGAAGATAATGCAGCGATTATCTATAAGAACAATGACGTGGAATTCCAGTAAGCATGGCTAATTTTAGAACAATAAAAAAATTTCTTTTTTTTTTTTTTATTCTTGTTCATTACACATATCCGAAAGCATTATATCTATTTTCACTTAAGTAATTATTTCATGTATCAATTATTATTATCTAATTCAATACCCTTCATTTCACTAATATATGTTGAAAGTAAACTTTGATTCTTTTTCTTTCTTGTAGAAAGAGATTTATAAAAATCTTTTGTTTTAGTTAAAGATTAAAACAATATTCACCTTTTGATTATTCATTGTATAAGTTTCATAAAATATAATACGAACAAAGTTTTTTTTTTCTTTAGATAAAGAACTACTTCATGAAAAGTAGTCTTTCAATAAACACTTCTCTTTTGATCATGAAAAATGAAAATGAAGTGTTTATCGAAGATTCTATTTCTTCTTTGTTTTTCTTTTATTTAAAAAACCTTGTTCAATATATTACACATATGAAGCAATGATTACATAAATGTTATTTTAAACACGTATAGATACCTATTTTATCCATTAAATTCAATATAATAAATTTTCACTACAATTTATTTCTTTTTTTATTTGTCCGATTTCAAACGAACGATAAACAAATACAAAAAAAAAATTCAATTACAGGAAAAAAATGTTTTTTTTTTCTTCTTATTTTTTTTTTTTTTGATCCTGTAAAAGAAAACAAATACTCACACATGCACACAATGTGATAATAAAATGGACGGTATGTCTGCAGTTGATTAAAATCACAGTGATGAACACAAAAGAAAAAAGTCTCTTTTTTTTCAAACAAAGAATATGTTTTGGACGGAATTAAACAAGCAAACATAATTGCAAATATATGTCACACAAGTCATTGTAAAGAAACGGAAGACTCTACTACCCACACACACCCTCACACAAATATATGTACATAAAGAAAAAGAATCCTATTCATTATTTGGATAATTTGAGATCAAAAGCTGTTTCTAGAGATGGTAATTTAGTTGATGTTATACTTTCATTTGTAATCCACCATGATGGTCGTTTTATTCCACAACCTTTTATAGTTAAATCTGTTGAGTTATTAAAAGATTCAATAATATGTTGTTGTTGTTGTTGTTGTTGTGATTGATCATCATCTTCAAATAAGCAATTGAATGTTGAATGTTTTGATGTATAATCAAAAGCATCAAAAGCATTATTTGTATCAGCACCGGCTGCTGCTGCTGCCTCAGCTGAAGATGTTAAATCAGACAATGCTGCATTAAAATCATTAAATAGATCATGTTCAGTTCTTGACGATAATAATGGTTGAACATCAATATCATTTGGTGTTTCATACAAATAAGCATCCCAATCAAATGTTGATGAATCTAATAAAAGCATATCTGTATCATCTAATTTCGTTCCATTTAAATTTTGTTTTGATATAACTGATGACATTGATGATGGTGAACTAGATGGTGATGGAGTTAATATAGATGATAAATCATGTATTTGTTGATGATTAAATGGTGAAATAGTTAAAGAATCAGGAGATGATGTTGGAGAAAGAAAACTACTTGGCATTCGTACATATGAACGATCAACAATTGTTGTATGACAATGAAGTGGTGATTGAGTTTTTGATCCAATACATGGAAGTATAGGATCAATCCATGGTTCAGTTTTAATATTTTCATAAGATATACGAGATGAATTTTTTACTAATGGTGTTACATTATTCGATATAATTTGATTTAATGATGATGATGTTGATCGCTTCGAATGACGTGAACGCTTATTATGTGTAGAATTCATCTGTTGTTGTTGTTGTTGTTGAATATGAATTAATGAACGTTGTCTTTCATAATCAGGTGATAATTTCCAAAAGCCACCTTTACCACCTCCAGCTTCTTTTTTTGTACGTGGAACTTTTATAAACCATTTATTTAATGATAAATTATGTCGAATAGAATTCTAAAATTACAAATATATATTTGTTTTTCTCAAGTCTAAATAAAATATTGGAAAAGTAAAAAAAACAATGCTACCTGCCAAGTTGGTTCCATTTTTTTAAAATATGGAAAATTTTCTGCAACCCAATCATATATCATTTGTAATGTCATTTTATCATGTCCAGATTGTTTCAAAGCAAATAATATAAGTTGAGAATATGAATAGACCGGTTTTGCATGTGGATTTGTTTTATACATACGCCATTGATCATCATCATCATCATCATTATTTATTGGTAAATCATTATTATCTGATATATCATTTGGATAAACAGACTCACGATTTGATGAAGATGAACAAGAAGATGGATGTTCTTTGCGTTTATTATTTGTTGTAGATGATGAAGAATTTATTGGTGGCATTGTTCGTTTTAATATATTTATATCATGTAACCATGAAAGATTTGTTAGACTATCATCAAATGTATTAAATGTTGAAGATTGTTGTTGAGATGTATGATGATTATTTGTTGAAGATATACGTGGCGTATTTATATTATGTGTTGTTAGGATATTTGTACTTTCTTGTTGATTTGATTTATTCATTGAATTAGTTTGTGATACTAATGTATAAACATTTCTTTGGATTGGCCATTGTGTCATCGATGATCTAAAATAAATATAAAAAGATTGAAATTTGTTTTATTTTCATTTCGATAGAAAAAAAAAATGAGGTTTTTTTGTGTATGTTACGATATTGTGATTCTTATATTGCTTCGGATAATGATGTCTCTATTTTTTTTTCTTTTTTTTTTTTTTTGTCGATACTTTTTTTTTCATAAATTCGATTAGTTGAAGAATCTAGTTAAGATGACGTGGAAAAAGAACTAGAAAAAGAGACACAATAGAATATTCTCAATCTCTCTTGGATATGATCAAAAAATGTTTTGTAAACATACAGGTAATGCTACATCCATACTCTTTGTTTTGGCCTGTTGTTTCTCAAGAGTTAAATTGCTTTTTCAATTTCATTAGATACTTTATTTTACTCAAGGATGCATACAATTCTGTCTTGTCGTCATAACATATTTTTTTCTTTTTTTTGTTTCTTTTTCTCTAATTTTTTTGTGTCGATCCTACTAGAAGATCGATTTAGTTTTTCACGTAGTGCATATGAAAATTAAACAAGTTTTTTTCAAGGATAGTCTAATAAAGTAATTTGATGCGTATCTATTTCATAAGCTTCTCTATGATGCAATTCTTTACAAGAACATCTGAAATATAGTACTATCGACTAAAGGAAAAAGACTTACTGACTTTTTCAACTATTTGAATAAACATAAAAGTGTTCTATGGAGTAATGTTACAAAGCTCTAACAAGTCTTCATTCTATTTAATCAATTTATGTAAAAAAAAAAAAGAAGAAGAAGAGAACCTTGAGTTTTCTATGCACACATATATGCATTAAAGAATAATTATGGCATCCATTTTTTTGTCGTTCTCGTCGGAAACATTGGCCAGTAATGGAAATAAAATTGGCGAGAACGAAAGAAATGTGAGAGAAAAAAGACGTAACAATAAAAACAAAACGTCACACTACCGGAAATATCTATAGGACATGATTGCGTGAAATCAATTATTTGCGTTAATTCCGGGTACAGACGCTAATGCACAATACCTTTTTGTTACGATGGTCAGGTGAGCCATCGATTTTACGTCTTTGCTTTTTGTTCGTTCTTTTTGTTACATCAATGGACGTTGACGATAGATCGAAGCGGACACTTAGACTGATTTCAGGTGAATGTATGTATGTGTATGGAAGAATCGAAATTCTTTCTGCTTTTTTTCGACCCACACACATATACAAAAGAAGGAAGAGAGAGGGAGAGAATAAAATTTCAAGTCTTTCTCCTTCTTTCTCTTGTCGAGCGTGCATGTTCTTTCTCTTTCTTATGATGAGATCGATGATGGGATGTGTATATATTTGTAAGATGCAATAAAAGAAGCATACGGTTAAAAAAAAAAGAAGAAAAAAAAAAGAAGAACAACACATTCTTGAAAAATAAAGGCGATATGATGAAAAAAGTCATTGCCTGCGGTTTTTATATACGAAGAAAAATGTTGATGAAAATCAATGTACGACTACCTGCTGAAATCTACAAGTGAAGTCATAAATAACTATGCTGCTTATCTTTGAACATATGATAGGAATTTATTTGAATACTAGATCGATTTAGTACATAGGAAAGAGAATTCAAATATATATATCAATATGTAAGTTTTAAACGTATGAATAAATATTATCTAAGACTAGAGCCTCCTCTTGTCTGATCAATGAGTACATTAGCATATCCTTTCAGAAAGAACAAGAGAGTTGCTGATTTTATTCAGTATTTATATGTACATATACGAATAAGAGTGAGAAAACGTAACTTGAGACACACAACTCTTATGATGAGAATTGATGAAAAAGAATCACACAGCCATCATCATCATCATCATCATCATAACGTATATATTTACATAAAAACGAGCTCTCTCGCTCTTTCACTTTAGAATTATTATTGAACTACTTTCGCTTTTACTGACTGATGATTGTTCATGATCAACCTTCACATGGTGCAATCTGAGAAAGACTATTACGTACTGCTCTCTCTCTCTCTCTCTCTCTCTCTTTCTCTCTTTCTTATATGTGAAGAAGTATACGCGAGAGGATGAGAACAAGAGAAAGTGAAATCTTAGGACGGCAGCAGTAACTCGGTCTCGTAATTTTACATCATCTTTTCTTTTTTTTTTCTTTTTGCTCTCTTACATACATAGTGAGAAACTCAGCTAGCTATTCAAATATTCAGGATCAACTTTCATTTATTCGTCTAAGTAACAATGGATGAGCAAAGACGACAACGACGATGATGACTACTACTTGTCTGTTTACATAAAGAGTATAACCAGCTAGTGGTACCATCTCATTGGCCTATTCAACACTTATACGAGTTGACTCAATTATTCACCGTACTATCGTCGTTGGATACTGAAAAAGAGACTGTACGATATTCAGTGACCCACTTTACTATTCATTCAGCTAACAGCTGAGAGCAATCAATCAAAAAGACAGACAGTTTGAACTCATTGTCATTTGACAAGACCTTGTTTTGACAAAATGCAAACGATTCTTTTCTTATTCATTCTAAAGTAGATTATTAAACGAAAGACAGTAAGAGTGATAAAGTTTGCTATTGACAATGTACAGTTAAGACGTATGTTATATATATCTTCAAATATACTCTTGATTATCATACAAAAAAAAGATGGAAGATCATAAAACGATCTATGTACTCCATATAAGTCTTAGTACAATAAACATAGTACATTATCGGTTGTTTCAAACTTATCAGAAACAAAAAAAAAAGAAATATGTGATTTATTTTCTGTTTGTTTTTTTTCTCCAAATAAAATTTAACTTCTAATCGAAGAAATGTTGCGTAAGAAAAATGAAAATGAATACGAATAAGATTCATGGTTATTATAAAATCAACAAACGAAAATTGTTCAACATGTTGTATCTGAAACTATATTAAATTTCTCATTATAAATATACAAACATATTCTATCAATGATGACTTGTATCATATAATATATTGCCTTGACTTCATTGAAAGTTTATATTTAGCACTCAGAAAAAAAGCTCGTTTGCCCTATTTCCATATTAATTATTACTTCATTTGTACAAAGAAAAAGAAAATTAACATGAGTCAACATCATACATCAGCATCTCGTTATCGTACTGTTCATCCTTCACTTTTGCCTTCACCTGTTGCTGACAGAACTGTTTCATCAGATTTTTCTCCATAAACTGTTAATTTATATCAGCAGGCATTTATAATCACCGATCGACAATATATTTATAAAACTTGTCATGATCATTCTTCTACCAATGAGAATCAACAGTGAAATAATCATAATAGTGGTTTAATTCATTCTAATGAAATATCAAAAACGATCAATGATAGTACTTCTCGAAAACGACGAAGAACAATACGATATAATCTAAATGAATATTATCAACAATCACATGTAAAATTTTCATTATTATTAGTTTATATAAATAATACTCTTCTTATTCAAATTCATTTAATGTTATTATTCATTATTGTATTAATTATTAGGTTTATATTTTATTATGTTATTGTTTATATTTATACAAAACCAAAAAGGAATGAATGAGAAGAAATAATTGATTGGCTTACTCAAGAATAAATTTCAAACTTTTTGTTTCATCAATAACAAAAAGTGTTTTTTTTTGTTGTATATATTTTATAAACATAGGAAATTTTTCATTGACATTGAAGCCTTTTATTTATTTATTGAGCAAAAAAAAAAAAGACTATTTGCGTGACAATATATTAGTTCACGCAGGACAATTAATAAATAGAATCATAATAATAAAGATTGATGTCAACATTAATTATCTTGTCATCACTACATTTCATATTTAACTTGAAAGATATATGTATATTTCTTTTTAATATCATAATAGGTCACGTGCTTTTTATTTTTACACTCTAAAGACAATTATGCCTCTGGCATAGATAGTTTTTTGTTACAAAAAAAAAAACTAAAATTTTTCTTGGTATTGATATAACAATTTATAGATTAATTTTATGCAATGTGAAACATATTAGACAAGACCTAATGTTTAAACAAAAGATTTCGAATAAAAACGACAATACTGGAATTGATATACATTACATTAGATTCTAATAGTTGATTTCTTCCCATACCTGGTTTAGAATGAATACATACGAAACTCCATTTGCTTGACTTAATGTAATTATTTAAAATTTCATCGATTTGATCTACTAACAAATTTTTCCTTACAATTAATTATCTCTTAAAGAGCAAGTTTAGACAACACTAGGTTCAAGATTTTTAGATTTGTGTCAGAACGTGAATTTTTTTAAGCTTCTGTTTAACCCAGACCTGTACTTAGATTAGAGTAGTAATGGGACCGAATTATTAAGTTGAATAATATTTGTTAGATATGCCATTTTTTTCTGATAAAACACTTGTTGAAAGCCATGAGTATTAATTTTATTTTCTTCTGTTCGTCCACATTGTTTTATTTCTTGCATCGATGAATACTACGTTGTTTAAAGGATATAATTAAAACTGTGTTACTTGAGCTAAATATAATCCATATATATATTCTGATGAAGATCAAAATTAAGCTTGGATCGTCATTTAAAGAGAAACATTAATTTTGTATGAAAAGACTAATGAAGAAACTGCCCGAGATGCTATCTCGTGTTTTTAACAAGATCTAACGTCATTGGGTAGATATTCTTGAGACTAGAAAAAGCCGAAAAGAATTCTATAAAACAACTGGATAACCGAATCTTAGTCTCAAGGTTTGTTCATATACAGCTCTTGAAATCATTAGGATCTCCTGAAAAATTCCATGGAAAAGAATGGTACTTCCTCGAGATATCAAATCCGAAAAAAACATGATAATCCACCAAAAAGGACGGAAAATCTAGTTCTTTTTTGAGGATTTGATATTTCGAGAAAAGGCAACTTTTTTTGGCTGATATTTTTATGAAATTTGTTCATAAATACCGTGCCACAAGTAAAAACTCGTGTGTATCGGCCAGAACTCGAAAAGAATAGTGCATGGATAAGAATTCTTTTAGGACTCTTTTAGTCTTAACAGATCCTACCTAATGACTAAGGACTCATGCCAAACGTGAAGGATTACTTTGGATAGTTTCCTCGTGAGTGAAAAAATGCAAAATTTGGAGTTTAGCAATTCAGTAGTTGAAGGAGAAATGACTCTTTATTTGCGCTGTATATATAAATAACACATATTTATCTTTGAGAAACCTAACAGATATAAACAACTATAACATGATATTTCTTTCTGAAGATTTCTCAAAAATCTTCGTGCGGAAAAAGTTAGTGAATGTTTTCTAAAATCATTCTGAATCTACCGATTAACAATGATCCAATAAAGTGGCCTGATCTGATAAGTTACAACTCTAATGTAGGCTTGCTTAGAAAAGAAAATTTTGAATCCAAATTTGGCAGACTACCATAGTGACTTCTTCTCTACTAGCAGCAATATAATATCATAGATTATTCAAACATAAAGTTTTCCTAATTATTTATTTAATTGGATAAACTAATTAAAGACCCAGAAGTGTATTCGAAATTTATTATCGATAGTTGTAAAAAAAACGTCTATGCATTTAACTATTAATTAATATTCATAAATGTATTTTTTAATGTTAGCATTTGATAAGCATCCATTATTCATTAATAGATCAAAATGAATATATTTTCATTATTATTTAGCTGAAATATGAGATTTACTAAATGTCTTGTTAACATAATAAAACAACAAAGAACAACAAAATGTTATAATCATCTAAGACCTATACAACAAAAAACAGAAAATAATGATGAACGCTAAACGTCGGAAGCGAACAAAACTATAAGCATTAATAAATGACAAAGAAAAAGAACAGAAAAAGGCTTTTGCTTAGTTTAGTTTTTTCTTAATTAAACACTTCCATAATTATTTTTCAAATCACGAAGAAGAAAAATAGCTAAGACAAGACCAGCAATTTCAATAAAAAAGAAAAATATTGAAACACCACCTAATGCTTTTGAATATCGAAAGAAAAGATTACGAGCTGATCCATAACAACCATGATCAAAATAAGCCGTACCATTGACTGGCATTTTTGAGCAATCATTATTAAGACAACATGATGGTGGTGGTGCGGTGAGTTGACCGCGATCGATCCAATCATCAGCTTTATCAACACCACAACATGATTGTGTTTGTTGAAGACGATCCCATTCATTTATAACATCCTTATTTCCATCTTTATAACTTAGTAAGGAGTCAAATAATTTTGTACGTAATTGATTTTCAGCTTTATTACGAAGAGTAAACGTAACAATTGCAGCAATCAATTGAAGTAAAAGTATTATAACTAATGAACCAATAAAAAATTTTAATAAATTTAAACGACTTCTATATGCTCCAATGAGACCTAATTAAAATAAAAATTAGATTTATTGTTTAGATTAAAATAAACTAATATCTATTTACCAACTGCTGTTAAAACAATAATAATAACACCTAATCCAATAATAAACCCGGCACCAGACATAAGTGAATAACCAGTAATACTCGAAACTAACACGAAAAAAAAAAAATTCAAATTTCAATTAGTTAAGTATCAAATAAATAAAATTGAACTTACAATGTGCCGCATGTCTATGAGCAATACTGCCAGTAATAAGAAGTGAAATACCAGCAATGAAATATAATACCAAAAAGATAAGAAACAACAGTTTATAGGAACGCATCGTTAATAGAACTGATTCGACTAACTGACTAACGAATTTTACTTCTTTGTTATTTAAATATTTAAAAATAAACGTATACGATCTAGAATAAAAGAAATATTTAAAGAAGAGAGCGAAAATATAGAAAAAAAAAAAAGAGATTTTTTTATAGAGGCCGACATCGACGATAGTCAGTAAGTGTTCATACGTCCGACTTGTCTTTGAAAAGAGCGATGAAGACAAATGAATGTGCTTCCTGTGCCCTAGATCATAATAAGTTTTTAAGTGTAAATTGACAAAGAATAGAAAGCAAAAGAAAAAGGAAAGGAAAGAAAAAAAAAATGAACGGCTTCAACTCTTCCCGATATTCCATCGACGAGGCTAAAAATATCAAGGTCTTATTATGTCAGTAGAGTACGTTTTATAACTAGACGAATAGAAATAAAAAGACAGAAGCAAAAAAAAAAACAGTTCTAATAAATGTAAAGAGAATACCAAATAACGAAGAGAATGTATTTTAGTTGTAGGATCAAAAAAAGGTGATGATGAGGAAGTTATAAAAAAAAAGTCATGAGAAAAAAAAAAGAATAGCATTGTTTTTTCTCTCACATCATGTTAGCTATGTCATACTTTTTTTTGCAACAAGTTTTTATATCTAACCAAATAAAAAAACCCAATGCCTAGAATACAACCAAGATTGATTATTATCGAACTCGTTGGCATTATTACTGTCGATTTTTTTATTGAATGGATATATATATATATATATACATACATGAGTATGCAAATAAATAACGCAAACAGAGAATAAAGATATGAGAGTCGGATGTTAGATTGAGTATGTAAAGAGGCTTAATCCTTTTTTTTCCTCTTCTTGCCTCAATGGATTTATATTCTCATTTGATTTTTAGGATACTCGAATTGCTAAGAACAAAAAATAGTTGCTTTTTCCTTTTAATGTGAATCGAGATAGAGTTTTTGCTTTTTGTTTTTCTACTCTTATCAATTGTATTAATGCATTTATATGAATAATATATATATATATATATTTCATATGTTTGTGAATGATCAAGATTGATGAATCATTGCAAAATTTATATAGATTTATGTAATATAATAATTTGAAACTAATCTTTCTAAACGAGATTTATTTTTTCTATTATATATAAATCCTAGAATAAATATATATAAAAGAAAAACACAAACAACATAACATGTAACTGTAATCTAGAATTTATCAATATGAAATAATTGCATTTGAATAGAGTTTTTATTTTGTCTTGTAACTAATAGAAAATTTTTTCCAAATAAACGTATACTATTGATATTTTCACTATTAATTATATTTAATTGATCAATATGTCCATGTTGATCTAAAAGACATAAATCTATTTGATTATTATCTTGTTTTTGTTTAATTATCCAATAATTATTTAATGGTAAATAAAGTATTAAATATGAATTTTCTAATCTTCGTATATGTTGCATATTTGGAAAAATAAATAAATCTAAAACATCATTATCATCATTTATTTCAACATTCATGGCAAGATAAATATTTGAATATAATTCAATACGATGAATATCAATTGTATTTTCATTATCTGGATAAAAATCTTTTTTTGACCAACGTTTAATTAATTCCATTTTTTCTAAAGAATAATTATCAATAAATAAACCATGACCATGTTTTATTAACAATAAATCATTATTTACACTTATATATTTCATTGGATTACCATCAATTGGTGCTATCTAAACATATAATGATTGATCATGACAAAAACAAAAACACATATACTTCAATGCAGAATTGATTGAGATGGACTAGTTTCGTTCCTTTTTACATAATATTTGAGAAAGTTTTGAACTATTTTCACAAAACTGTCTGATAGTTTTCAGAAGGCAACATTAGTCACAAGGAAATGTCTTCTGATGTTAAATCGCTTTTCGACTAAGATGATGTTCATTTGATGAATACTAATAAGTTAATAGAAAAATCTAGAATAGTTTTGTTTTCCAACAAAACACTTTAGTTCTCATTGAGGTGAGGTGAGAGATTTAACTTCACATTTCATACGAACAAAGTTCTTATTGAAATTAGTTGGTTGTGAAACTAACACATCCTTTATAGATATGTAGATACAGAGTGTCCCAAAATTTCATGCAGAAAGTAAATTTATATAACTCTACTATTTATCAAAGTTAATCAACGAATTTTTTTCAAGTGATAGATATCACTATGAAGTTTGCTTTTTTTTTTTCTTTGATACCGACAAACTTCACATATATTCGAATATTGAATATACTAGGATAGGAGATCCTAGCAAAGTTACAACTTGTCTAATTAACTAATCTTAGTAGGAACTTTGTTTGTACGCAGTTTAAACTCGAGACGTAAAAGTTGATTTTTCACGTGACCATAGCTTTTTATTGGAAAGTCTAGTAAAATTTCGATATTTCAATAATGGAGACCATGAAAAACCAAAACATCTTAGACTTTTCTATTACTCTTAAGTACTCATGGAACGAGCATCGAACAGCGACTTGACACCTAGAGAAGTTCTTTCATCAGTCAGTTGCTACAAAACGAACTGTATCTAATTGTTTGTCAATTTCTTTTCTCCTTCCACTTCGAAAAACAATCAAGAGTGTTGATTTAAAAGAAAGAACGTCAAAAAAGAAAATCCTTTTGTTTTTTTTTTTACTTGTTTAATTGGATAAATATGAAATGGTTCTTGAGAACAATTAAGTGCATAAAGTGATTGAGAACAAAGAACAAGAAATGTATTTAAATATGAACACCATTTAATACATGTTATCAATGAATATTCTTTTGGCCAAAAACCTCCACCAATACGTTCTTCATGATTAAATAATTCAAGAGTATTACTTTCATTATTACAAACAAGTAACTAAATAACAAAAAAGAAACATTTTTGTTTGTTTTTTGTTTATTTTTGTTATGACATAAAATTTTTACATGCTTATTTGATGTATCATACAAAAGTGGAATATAATTAGAATCATTATCGATTTCAATATTGAATTGTCTAATATAAGAATTATTAAGAATACGTTCAATATCAGGTTTTGTTTGAATTATTATTTTTGGTGATTCAATATTATTATTGTATTCAAATGTATCATCATTATCTAGTAAACAAGTATTTCCATTACCAAAATCAATATTTATTATGGATATACGTGCTTCATGTATACGAATATGCATTTTATCTAATGATAATCTTAATTCATCGAGTTCATGAGGATAAAAATCATATTTTGTTGAAAGACGTTCTAATTTTGTTGAAATATTTTCTTCAAATTCATTTGCAAGATTTGTTTTTGTTAATTCAAAATCGGAACTAACTTTTATAAATGATTGTTCTATGTCATCTAAAAATAGTCAAAATTAAATACATCAAAATCATGAATTTTTTTCAAGAAAATTTTACAAAAACGAATTCTATCACTTTCATAATCGAAGTGACATGTAAAGTAGGTTTTCAGATATAATAAAATTTATGTTTAACGATATAGAAATTGATTGTACTACGTTCTATCGTTCTTGAGATTATTAACAATATCAATCATAAAATAATACACCTATCTATTAAATGATATTCTATATATGAGGATAAGTTTTTTGAACTTATGAAACAAAAAAATCGTTTTTTTCGTTTATGTAATTACAGTAGAAAAGACTTATGCGCTGTTTTTCAAGTAAAAAATATCTTATATTCATTTATATAATACGACTAATTATTAATATTGAACCTCTTTTTGTTCATTATTATTTACTGATATCTTAAATCTTCTCTTTGAAATAATTTTAACATATTTTAATTGTCGTCTTCTTTTTATAACAACAGAAGTTCTATTGTATTTCACAATTTACTCTTAAAAGAATATCTATAAGAGTTTTTAATAAAAATTTCACATGATTACCAAGAAGTTTGTTGTAAATTCGTTCAATTTTATTCAACATTTGTTTTTTCCATAAAGCTAAATTTGATTGAAGTTGTTCACGAGAATCAGTAACTTGCATTTCACTTAATGTAATATAAGTTTCACTAGCTTCCTAAAAATCTCATCAGTAAAAAAAACGAAGGATAAAAATCGACTTAATAATTAAAATAATTGACTGACTTCAACAAGCTTATCTCGTAAATGTTTTAATTCATCTTGATGTTGAGTTATATGAATAAGACAACATATTTTATCACAATGAACACATTCCATAAAACCATCAGCTGTACATTGTTCATTGGTTTGTTGATTAATATGATTACATTGAACTAACGGACGAAAACGTTTTGATGATCGATGATTTTTATCAACATTTATTTGTGATGATGAAAGCATCGATGTTTCTAATAATGTATCATTTGTTAAGGACATTTCAAACTTGAATGCTTGCCTGGTTATGATTAAAAGAAAAGTAAAAACTATTGTCACTAGTCTTCTCAAACAAACGAACGAAAGAAACACGTGCTGTGTATATACAAATACGTGAAGAACAAAAACACATTCTTTTATTCCAAAAAAATAAATCTAATGAAGAATTCATTTGTACGATGATCATTATTTAAAATTGCTTATATTGAAATGTTAACTTCTATGATAAATAAATCTATTTGATTTATTTATTTTAATGATCAGTTTTTCATAGTAATCATTTGACACTTTTATTATTGATTTTATTGTTATTCTTTTTATCCGATGTGCATGAATTTGAAGTTTATCAAACTACAAAAATGAAGCAATTTATTTTTAGAAGGATCAAGTCAGACGAAAGAAAATGAATGACTGTACATAAATTGATTACATGATCAATTTTTAACTGTTCAATACACTTGAAATTTCAAGCAGTGACATATTGAGAATCATTTAAATAAGCCCTTTGCTTGCATTGTCTTCCTTATATTCAAATTGTTGTATAACTGTTTGAAATAAGGCGTGCAAATATTGTTTCACGAGTATTGACTTTATATACGTTGATATAGATTTTACTGTTCGAGTAATAGTTCACATAGGGTATTATATAAGAGCATAATTTAAAATTTTATCTATTCATTTTTGCAAAAAATTCCAGAAAAATAATATTTTCTAATAGAAGATGTTTAATCTTTTACAATATTAGTACTAACATAATAAAACTTCTTGACTTGAAAAAAAAATGCATTTCAATTTGTTAATACTTATTGACTTTTTGTCTCATTCAAATGTATATGGTTAATTGATTGATTGATTGTTTGAAATACATGATCAGTAATAAATTATTTTTCAATATTACTTATGTGTTGAAAGTTTCTTATCCTATTGGAACGATGCTGGTCTTGGCAGCATTTGTTTAGAAAAGAATTAAAGTATTAATCAATATTACATCTCTTCAGATTTGCGATACATTTTTCATGTATTACTTCATCCTTACAAAAATATCTATTTTGATATTCGATTAAATTCATTACTTTTTAATTTGTTGATATTATAAAAACAGATGATTTATAGAAATTTTTATTGGATGCTCTGAAATGCTAACTAATCTCAAACCTTTGCAATAATGTAATATGAATATATAAGAAAAGGATTTCAACATATTCAACAGATATATGTTTAAGACAGAGTAAACCATACTTTTTAAAGATTATTTCTTTTTCCAATCCTTGCAGAATTATTGTTCAAGGAAAAAAAGAAACAATGAAGCCTGCAACAGTTTCATACAACATAAAAATGCTAGAAGAAAAAGAGTTTGTAACTTTATGCCAGCAGCTTTTAGGATTTTTCTATAGAATTTCCCTATATACATATATATTATCATCAGACTGAAGGGATTAGACCGAGAACTAGTCCTAGCTAAGAGTGCGAGCAAGAACGGCAAGTTAAGTAGACCCCAAAAAATTAAATTCTGTAGTCACGTTGTGTCTAACACAATAATGCTATTTCTATAGACGAGAACGTTCTTTTTTTTCAGAAAAAAAAAATCATGATAAATAGTTAATTACAAATAATATTTAATAATGATTTATTATCCGTTACAGAGAATACAATACCATATGTTAAATACTTTTCACATTTCATTTAATATGAAATTTTTTATAGAAAAAATAGAACATAAATATCATAAAAAAGTTAGAGACAAGTATGCTTCACGAGCACGTGTGTTCGATAAATAAGTATCGTGTATTTTATGTTGTTATTGGATTTGAATAGAATACATTATCTTAAGTTTGATTACTCATTTGAAATTTATATACAAGCTATTACAAAATAAAATCTAATCTTTTTTTCCAAGCAGTAGTAAAAATCAATTGAACTTATCAATGTACCTGACTATTTCTTTTTCATTACATGTGATTCAAGCAATTTCCGATAAACATACCATTATAGAAAAGAAAAAAACTTGCGTTGCTTATGGTTATATTGCACACAAAAAAGAATGGTGTTGCTGTTTGTGACGTTTGCATGTTTCACTTCAAGGCGCCCGAAATAAAAATATTCACACACAAAATCAGTTATGCACGAAGAAATACAGGTAAGCAGTTATTAAGCAAAAAGGTATATACAAATGACTTCATTGAACAAAAAAAAAATATACAGTATCATAGGACAAAACTGTGTTTCAATGATGTGTTTCTAAAGTGTGTAACAAAAATACATGTATAGATAAAAGCAATTGGTAGATGAAAAATATATATAAAGGTATTTTGATTTTGCATATATAAGACAAAATCTATTCTATTTACACAATTATGGACTTCTCTAAAGATAGAAAATAATTATTATTTTGATATATTAATTATGTTTTATCTAATGTGTTTGGTTAGATTAATACACATGAATCTTTTGTATTTGATAAGTATTATTTAAAAGAATTTTTGTATTTTTAGATAAATATTATGTATATATCTATTATCGATAAATTATATTCTTTATTTTTAATTTATTGGTATATTCTTCCTATTATTTTTATTCTCTTGTATATAAGTCGATGGATAAGGACAAAAAATACTGTTCGACCAATTCGTCGAGGTGTTGATCGAAGTCAAACATATCCTCGTCAATATCCGTGTGGTTGGTATCGTATTTGTGATTCTGATGAAATTGCTAAACGAGGTCAAATTAAACATGCTTTTATACTGGGTCGAGAAATGGTAATTTTTCGATCTGATGACGAACATAGTCAAATATATGTCTTAGATGCATTTTGTGTTCATATGGGAGCAAATTTAGGTTTTGGTGGGCGAGTTATGCCAGGTACAAATTGTATTCAATGTCCTTTTCATTTATGGGAGTTTAGTGGAGAAACTGGTCATTGTACAAAAATCCCGTACATAGATGGAAAAATACCTGAAAAAGTAAATAAAAACCAAATATTTTATTTGTTAAAATCAGAAAAAGAAATACATTCATTAATTGTTTTTTAGGGTAAAATACAAACATATCCATGTGTTGAACGTCATGGTATGATAATGATTTGGTATCATCCATTAAATGAACCTCCTCATTATGATGCTATTTGTATTGATGAATTATTAGGTGATCGCTTTGAATACCGTGGTGTTCATCGTTATCCAAATATTCATATGCATTTACAAGAATTTGCTGAAAATGCAGCTGATTTCCAACATTTTCAACCATTACATGGTCAAATGTGTATACCATGGACTCAATTGCAAGTACCACGTATATTTATTCATCATCAAGCATCATTAGAATTTAGTAATGATAAACCATATATAGTATATTTTTATGATACAGCAATGTTAAAATTATTTGAAAAAAACTATGAATCAACTAAAATTGATGCATCCATAACATTTTATGGTCCCGGTGGAATAACATTATTTCGTTTTGATGGAAAATTTGGAAGAATTTATTTATTTCATACTCATACACCAACTGATTATACAGAATTAGATGTTGAATTTCGAGCATATGTTGAAAAAAAAATACCACGATTATTAAGTTGGTATATTATTGGAAATTGGATTGCACAATGGCATCGAGATATTGTTGTGTGGGAAAATAAAGTAAGAATAAAAGAAAAAAAAAAAAAATAAGTATTCTATAGAAATATTTTCGTTTAGATATTTAAACGTGCTCCATTTCTTGTTAAAAAGGATGGACCGATATTAAAAATGCGTCGTTGGTACAATCAATTTTATCTTTCAAAAGAAGAACTAGAAAATCATGCTGATTTATTGGATTGGTGATACTTAGTTTAGTATTTTCAAAACAATTTTTTACTTCTTCATGATGTTTTTTCTAGAAAAAAATAAAAAATTTATATTAAGATAAGCACAAATCTGTTTTTTGATTAATTATGAATAAAAAAGAGCAAAGGATTAATATGAGAAAAGAGAAAAAGTATTGTGTAAAAAGAAAAAGCAATGCTTTTTATTTAGTAGAAAAGAAGAAGAAGAAAAAGAAGAAAGAAAAGTATCTATCCTAGATGTGAACATAACAAAATCAATAAAAAAAAAAAAAGTAAAGTCTATGGGTTGTTTTTATTCATCATTGAAATGTAGGGAGACACAATATTCATTCACTTCACAAGAAATATCATATTTAATTGAAGCATGGAATATTTTGAAAACAACTGGTATTGTTAAATTTGCTGATGAAGTTCTTATCAGGTATAGAAATTCTAGAATGAAAAACAAAAAAAAAAACAAGAAAATTTTTATTTAGGACTATGTATCAGAGTTCATCGCTCCGACAGTTTTGGACATCAAAAATGTTGATTGATGCTAATAATTTTGATTTTGGTGAAGGTGAATCATGTATAAGAACTGAGTTAAGTTGGCATATTGGATTACGTGAACATAGTACCCATTTTATTTTGACATTTGAAAAACTTTTATCATCAATTAATGATGAAAACCTTCTTTCAAGACAAATTCAATCTCTTCAACTTTTACAAAATATATCTACACTTGATCATGATTCTTTAATAGTATATTTTCAAAAAAAAAAAAAAAATCATTATCTAATATTACTTTTCTTTCTCTTTTCTTCAATTTAGATATTGAAAAAATGTATCATCGATATAATTCGCGAACGTTTTCAAACAGTTAACTATGAATTTACAAATTCTTATGAGCAAGCATGGGATAAATTTTTATCAGTTATTCTTAAATGTTTATTAGCAAAAGCGAATACACCACAAGGACCTACAGACAATATGATTTCACCTATAATAATCATTGATCAACCATCAAATAATACATCCAATTTATAAAAATCATGAAATAAATTATTTACATCAGAACAACATAAAAAAAAGGAAATGAAAGGATTCCTATTTTAATGTTAAGAATCACGAAGAGAAAAGAAGATTATAACAATCTTTTCTCGAATATAAAAATTTTTATTGAATTTCTTTTTGATAGTGGATTGTATGCCAACAAGTTTTACTAGAGACATTCTAAATTACATTAGTTAATAAGGCAATCAAAGTACATCTTTGAGACAAGATTTGAATAAAAATCTTATAAAGATTATAGTTGTAAGACTTCAAAGAATTCTGAAGTGATTCTTAAAACACTTGTTTTACACGATAGTAAATGAAACATAGATTGCCAAATGGTTGTCAATCTACGATCTAAGTCAACATCAGTTATTATTAATAACTGATAAAGATGTTCATAAGCACTACTTTCCATCATTGATCATTCTTAATAAGTTAGGTAAGTGATTTAATCCAAGACATTTTAGGTAAATATGAACTTATTTTGCTATTACTTTCTCAATTACCGGACTAGTCTTAGCGAGCATATATGACACTTTAGAATAATCGATCGCTTATTTTTTTATAATTGTTTTAAATATCTAATAGAAAGATTAACATTGTTCGAAAGGTGAGTGTGCGATGTTTTGTTTTTTATTCGATTTCTCTATATGTTCGTCATCATATATCATAAGAAGTCTTTTTGTTTTTCAACATAAAAAAAGATATTAAAAGTACGCAGTCACTAACAAATCGAATAAGATAAAGCTGAAATTGCCCATTGATAAGAATAAAAGTTTCATTATATTCAATTTAATCTTGTAAGACTTCTACTGATAACGTTTTGCAAATTATTTCTGCTATTTATTAAATTATCGCTCATGTCAAGTGACTAATATAAGAATACCATTTCAATTTTTAGAATGTCTTTAAAACAACATTCTGAATTATACTTTCAGATTGAGTTACGATTGTTCTTAGAGTGTTCACTGCACTCAAATCTACTTAAACTATTACAGTTGGCACTCATTGATAAGCGTAACTGATTTCATTTCTGTACACAGTTATGGACTGTTGAATAAAATCAATTCTCTTTTCGATGGGGATTTGTATATTAAAAAAAAATTGATTGTTTTACTTTGCATCAAATTACTTTCGTCAGAATAGTTAAATAATACCATGTTTATGTGACTACGAAATTTGATAACATTTGCTATACGATATATAAGAAAAAAAAAGAATATCTTGCTAGTAGGTACGCTTGAATAGAATTGCATTAATACAAATAGCATCATTTTAGAGTATAAGTAAATTACTGTGACAAACAATAGGCTAACAGTAATCTCTTTTATAAGGTTTCATTCGATACATCATTAAATATCATGCCAAAAATGTCTATCTTTTACGCTCAGATTATCTACTATGGCTATATGAAACTTTTATTGCATTTTTACAAAAGAAACAAAAGAATTTTTTATCATTGAGTACTGATTATTTTGACCAAAGAAATATTATGCCGACTTTTTTCAACGTTTTTTTTTATGCACATATGGTCACCTATGGGCATGACCTGCTACTGATCAATAGGGTTTGAAGTGAAAGCATCTTTATTTTTAAGCAAGAATGAATGGTCTGGAAATGTGAAATCTCTTTATAAAGTAGTACATTCCAAAATTCAGGGAAAACATGGTAAAGAAATACATCTTTAAATAGGCATCGAGTGTTGGAAAAAAATTCTTCGATTAGATAGTAATCGGTAGAATACGAAATACTATTTCAACATACGTTCTTTGTAGAAATGTTAGATGTTTACGAACTAAAATAATGCGCTCAAAAATCCCATCTCTATTTTTACAGAAATTCTGTAATGAAACTCACTTATAGAGTGTATTGCTCAGTTACATTGGTAATTTTTGCAACAAAAATGACATGTTCTGCTGGAACTCAACAAACTCCACTGAACACACTCACTTTGATCGCAATTGGATTTTAACTTTAATTTTTCTCGAAAATTTCTTCGGTTGAAAAACCTTGAAAAATATTTTTCGTTAGATTTTAGTCAAAAAATACACCATTTTATGCAAAATCCGATGCCGTTGACGAATATCTGATTACGTTCCACGTTTTTTTTTTCTTTCATCCTAGTTCAAACAGTGATTTTCCACAGAAGGATGGAATTTCTTAACAAACATCTCTTTTTTTTATTTTGTTTTTGATGCAGTTATGCTGATTAAGAATTGAGCTGATATTTTGAAATCTTGTTAAAAACTGAACATATTTTATATGGAACATTTATTTGTTTGTCACTTCGTTTCGTAGTAAAATACTAAACTCTCAACTACGAAAAAAAAACTTTCATTTTTTTAAAGTTCCACAATGGTTGGTAGTTTCTGAACAGACCATATCTAACTAAACAAAAAAAATCAATGAAACTTTCGATGATAGTAGATGTAAATGGTCTATATCTATAATAAAAGTTTCAAAGAATTTGCTGTTACGATTAATGAGAAATAAATGTTGCAATGTAAAAAAAAAATAAAATTCTCTAATGCTTAGGTACGTCACTATATAGAAAAAAAATTAATCGTAAAATATTTTGATCATAAAATAAATTTATGAACAAATAGTATTTTGCCATACAGTATCTTTTTTCTTCTTCTTTTTGTCACGTACAAGATCATATTATCTATGCATAAAAGTTGTATAAATAGAATATATATTCGTTTGACGCCCATAGAATTCATGAAACTTATTATTTGTAGCTGCGAAATAAATTCTGTACTGATTCAATTGATAAACAACTGTCAACAAATATTCTTTTAACTGCTTACATGAGTCTTAAAAGACTCTCATTCCTTTATTCCTCAATAAATCTGTACGAAAAAGGACAAATTAGACAATTGAAATCAATTATAAGGTGTTTCTTTTGTATGAATAGTTTTACCATAATGAACAATAATAATCTGATGTTGCCAGAATCGATGAATAAGTCTTTATGAGACGCTTCGATAGTCGAATGATGAATAGATAGAACAATACTTTGAAAAAAAAATTCTTTCTAACAAAAAACACTATAGTAATAATTTCCAACAGGATTCTTCTATTTTTATAAAACATTTCTATGTGGCAAAGAAAAACCTTTTATCGATTCTATAGTAATGAAAATATTCTATACAAACTGTTGTTGGTTTAATTGATTGTAATTAATAAGAATAATTTCAATGTATCAAGAAAGAAGTGTAACGTTCGTTGAAAATTGATTGCATCTAATTCATAATGTCATTTTTCTATTTCTTCGTATCTCTTTTAGTATGATTTCATTGATGAAGATATAAAAGCCATCATTGATTTCGTAATTAATGAATTCAATCTCTGGATACAGTTTATATTGATCGTTAAATTTATGGACTCTCAACTTTATTAATATCAGTAGCAAAGAGAAGTGATATTTTGTTTTTCTGGATATCGTTTTCTAAAACTGGAACCTTAATCAGATGAAGACATACGAATCATTTCTGGAAAGAAAACTGCGAATATCGATTAATATTTTCCGGTTTTTACGAAAACTTTCGATCAATCTATTTTTGTTTTCGACGAAAACCAGCCGAAAAATGATTGGAGAAATTTCGACCCAATACAGTGATTTTTCCATCTCTTTTCAACCAGTTCTGGTTGAATTCGCTTGTTTTGCGAGTCTGGAGTTTTCGACTGTAGTATTAAAAACTCACGCAAAGCGGTTTGACAGATTTAAAAGATTACACATTGATCGTTTCTATCTTTTCTATTATTTCAATGCATTTTCAGTTAATACATTGAAACTCATTAATAATTTATTTAATCCGATCTATAAATCATGAACTTGTCTTTGGATTCTGTTTTAGATAAAATGGATACTATGATGAAAATCTTCTAATAATCATAATTTCAATATTTGGCATAACCATAGTATTATGATAAATAGAATTTTATACATTCTTTTGCATAAACTACTTCACGTTTTAATTATGCAGATATGCGTTTGTTTATACTGACATTTTGATCATAATTACATATGAATAACACAAACATATGATAAATTAAGTTTCATTTGCTTTTCAAGTTTAATTATGATTATAATAATTATTTTATGCTTACTAGAACGTATGTCGAATGTTTTATTGTCTGATTTTTGAGTGAAATGATTTCAGTATATTTAATATATTGATCACTTATTGTGAAAAAACCACCATCCTCTGAATGATTGAATTAAACAATTCAAATGGTACTATCTGTGATTCATTAATAATGAGAAGTATCAATTTATTTTGATAAAAATCGATGATATTTTTCTGAAATACTTAGAAATAGTAGTTGAATGATTTTATAGAACAAAAGTGTCATCCAGTATTTTCTATCTCATTATCAACGCTAAATCTATGTGAAGTATCTACATGATAAAACTGTTTTTTTTGCTGTTTTTTTGCAGATGTTGCTTGCGCTAACCATTATTTCTTATTATCGAAATCATTTATTGAAAATTCTTTAAAAAAATGTCAAGATTTTATTTGATTGTTAAACTGAATTGTATTCTTTATTTAGTACATGAAAAAATTCCATACCAATAAGATAAAAAAACACCGATTTTTTCGTTCATTATTCTGAATTTGCACCGCCTGATGATGATAACTAACGAGAATATCGTTCGATATAGTACGGTAATTTTATCATAAATATTAAAAGAGTTGTAATCAATGCAGTTGGTACTACAAAAGAAAAAAAAAAGGAAATATTTATCGAGAAAAAATAGCTAAAAAAAATGAAATTCTTACAATTTCCTCGATATCGTTGTTGTGGATTCGGTAAAGAGATTCCTTTAGTTTGTTGTGATAAACTATTGCAAACTTGAGAATTTCTTGTTTTGATATACCAACGAGCTGCTGTTAATGAGGTAGACATTGTGCTATCTGAAATATAAATAGCTATTATTCTAATATAATACGAAAGAAGTTTATTTTGATAAGATCTTTTCAAAATTCGATTGATATTTTTTTTATTAATAAATTTATTTGTTTTTCTATCAATATCATTGTATTAAAAATAACTCGATTCCTTTTACATCAAACAAAATTGATCAAATTTTCTTCATATTGAGTTTTTTCAACTGTACGTGTTTGTGAATAGTATGATTATTAATTTCCTTTGACATTCAATAATAATAAGCTAAAATTTTATGCATTACTATTTTTTTTTCTTGAAATAATTCCATGTACTCCTCATTTCTGATTTTTCTCGACTAAATAAAAATATTTCATACACATTATTCAGACACAAAAACCTAAAGCAAATGTTTAGCATCTATTAATTAAATTTTTTGCTCATTGTGTTTCGAAAATTTCGATATAGAATGTACTGCAATATTATTTGAAGGTATATTTGGTTCTTTCATTGTTGGATATCGAACATTTTATAATCGACCGATTTGATTTGCCAAAACGTATCCTGTTACGGACAATCATTTTTTTCAATAACATAAAGGATTAATTAAGAAAAAAGCGTACACGTTTTTCCATTATTTCCTGTCTCTCATGCAAAATCTCGTTTTCTCTATTAGAAAATATGAAACTATATTAGAAACAAAAAAAAAACAAAGCGATAACGCTCACGTTATTATTGAAATTTACTAACACCGGACTTTGATTATTATTAAATAATCGATAGACTCGTTTTGATAAATAACTTTTTATTCTATAATGAAAAGAAACAATTATATAATATTTATACCAATATTATTTATTATCAACTCCTATTGAGTGATTGAGATAAACATCTGATTGGTCCTCTATGAGTAAATATCGATTATATGCATTATAAAAAACTAGGGCAATAGCTCTTCCATCTCAATCATAATCTTCCCTTTATCAAATAAATATAAATAAATAAATATAAATGCAGATTTTCTTTTTTTTTATATCGCCAAAAACCACACAATCGTCTTTTTTTTTATTTTGGGCGCTCATCATCAAAAGATATGTCTGTGCGCATAGTGACGAGAAAAAAAAGATTAAGATAATATAAGTGAGTGTGTGTTGAAAAAGACCATAGTAAACAAACAACAGACAGAGCAAAAAAAAAGCGAGCAAAACAAAAAAAGGAAAACGAGAAAAAAAAGAAAACACAGTTGTTGATGACGAAGAAAAATGATAAAGGAAAAATGCTAAATGGTAATGAGCCCGAAAAAAAAATGAAAGGTTTCTATATTTGCGTGAAGAATAAGAGTAGAAAAACAGAAAACAAAACAAACAATCGATTGTCATTACAAACAATATGCGTTAAATACGCACGTTACCAGTCAACAGAAGTAACCGGATGTTTTACATGACAATACAGGAAAAAAACAAGAAAAGAATAAAAGACCATCACCACAATCATCAAAACAAAGAAAGAAGAGTAATAAGCTTAGGTTTTTGTTTTTTAATAGAAGCAAATAGCTTGCTCATGGGTCTACACCGGTTATAGGAAAACAAAAGAAAAAGAAGAACAACGACTGGGTTGAGCAGACAAAACAAGAGACAAAAAGAGAATAACACTCGGATGAGAACAAAAGGTAAGAAAGATAGAGAGAGCTATTGCGCGCCAATGAAACAAAACAAAAAAAAAAAAAAACAATCATCAATCAAAAAAAAGACATTTTTTTTGTTCGAAACAATGAACGAAATGAGAATGTATCTAATCGCCGCGACGATAAAAAAGTAAATAAGGCGTAAGTTTTTCAGCTGATGAATTCATCACTTGACTTGATGTAACAACATGAACATCGGCATCATCATATCGAAGCCATCCTTGAAGACCAGGATGAAATACATCAGTTATATAATGTCCATCGCTTGCACGTTCACCTCGATGATATTCAACAGCAAATAATTTATATCGGTCATAAGAATGTTTTCGTGCTTGTTCAGTTAATATATCTTTAAAAACAAAAACAAAAAAAAAATTATATTTTATTGAAAGAAAAAAAAAACAATTTTGATTTATTTTTTTACTTTTTGGTAATGTTAAATTAACAGTATAACTTATTGATTTATTGATTTTTTTTGTTCCATCTGATTCATCACAAAGAAAACATTTTAAATGTATAATAAGTATTGGTGGTAATTGTTCGATTAACATTGTTTTATTTGTGTGAACCTAAAGAAATTAAATTTATATTTAACATACAGTTTTTTTTTGCTTTTTTTAAAACTATTGTTTACATACATTTTGACGAGTTTTACTATCAATATAATCGGAAAGTGTTGATTGTTCACAAAATCGCATAAGAGCTTCGTCAAGTGATGTAATTTTTGGATCCTAAAAAAAAAAAGAAATTTTTATCATGTTAATCGAACAATTAAAATGAAAATAAAATTAAGAGAAATAAGTATCTGAATATTGAATAGTTTTACTGAGTGAAACAGCCTCTTTTATGTCTGAAGCTTCGCAAATCTTTCCTTTGTCAACTGAAAATTTTCAAATTTTCAATTTTTTGCTTTTTTCTGAAAAATAAGTTGTTAACGAACAAATCGTGAAAATCGTCTCTATTTCTCAACGATCCTACGTCTGCCTGAACTGAAATTTTTTTTCTACTGATTAAAAGGATGGATATAACTATGGATTTGCATATGCTCTTCACATCCCATATTCACACCTTCAACAGTGGATGCGCGAAAAATTCTCGATTGGTAGAGATTTTGACATGAAATCAGGTAATTGAGAACTGAATGAAAGGACATTGTTCAAGATTTTGTATTCGAAATGCTCTATTATTTGGCATGTTACTTTTTCGATAGCTAAGAGTTCGAGATTTTTATAATAATTGAAAAAAGGGGTCTCACAAATTGTTAGCTTAATGGGATGTATGGTGAATAGAAAAGAGGAACCATTTTGAACCTTTGCAACTAGAGACCATCGGATTTGGTTCTAAAAGTTTTTAACCTGATGGACTCTAGTTGTCTGAGAAATGTTTAGGTTACGCTTGTCACTAAATACGAAAAGCTCGAAAAAAGTATCTCGTATTCTCGGGGCGACTGTCCAAAATGATTTAGAAAATTTCATTTAGTCTCAAAGTATGGTTTGATCGGATCTGAGATTAAAAATTCTGGACGTAAGACACTCTACTTGCAACCTTAATATCTTCTACAGTGCAGTATTCGAGAATTTTGAGTCTATGACAACATTTGTTCTACTCATCAATCTCTATTTGCTCTGAAAGTTTTAAATTTTTCTGATGAGTGAGTTGCTCTTTAGAAAGTCCAAAAAGGCAAATAAAGCTGCCTTGATTATCGTTGTGTACGTAATCTACGGTGATAAATGATGTGTTTAATTCTACTATTTACCGGTAGCAAAAAAGACTGTTGACTAATGTAAAGAAAACAAATCTATTTATTACTGAAAGTGTAGGTCATGTTACCAAGATCCTTGCTCTGCATGCCTATAAATGATCATTTTATTTTCTGAAAGGAAATATTTCTTGAGGAAATATCGTACTATTTCTAAGATCCCAATCTTGACAAATTTATTTCTCTAAGATTGACATTTTTTTCCCTTGTTAATAAATAGAATAATCTTGAATTTTGATGTACTAAATTATCATAAGACCATAGTTAGAAAGTGTATATAAGAAATTTCATTTTCTCTGAAGATTTTGTCTTGCTGTTTTATATTAGATAATTATTTAAATGATGTTCTTACTTTAATATCGAGTGAAAGAGTAAAAAATGGTTCATGTATAACTGATTTTTGATTTCCAGTAATATGTACTGTGGAACGGAATTTTCCAGCAAATATATCCGCAATAAGACTTTTTCGAATTTCATTCTAAAATATAAAATTATAAATAATAAGATAGAATAAAAAGAAAATTTTCTTTTTAAATTACCGTTCGAAGAACATGGGTACGATTTCTTTTACCAACTTGAAGCCAATCTTCTGATTTTTCTTCTCCATTATGAGCTGATTGTATTGCTGTTACATCAGATGTAGTAACGGATTCATCTTTAAGAAAAAAACAGAATATGTTTTGATTTTCTCTAGAAATTATTTCCAAAGTCATTTACCATTTTTATTTATTGCTGTGTTATACAAAATTGAACAAATTTCTTCATGAAGTTCACTTAATAATTGACATAATAATTCATGTGCATCTTCTTGTTTTGTTTTAACAATATCAAGAGATACATTACGAAGACGAGCTATTTCTTGAAGAATATCAACTGGATCAAATGGTTGACCACATATTATATCTTTATGATTTGCTGAATTTGATTTACTTCGATCCATTTTTTCGAATTGATTAACAAATGAATGGCTAAAATAAAACAATAGAAACACAAATATTTCTTTTTTTTTCTTGAATATTAGTGAAAAAGAGTATCGAAGATTAGAACAAGTTTATTACTCACTTTACCAACAACCTCAATAGTGAAACCTATTATGTTTTTTAGAAATTACTAAGAGAAATTCATAAATTTATCCGAACAGCTAAAAACCTCTTGGATAAAATAAATTAAATATTGGCTACTGAATCGAACTGAGAAGAAAACATTTGCAACTAATCATCCACTTCTCATTGAAAGCTAGTGGACCATAAACTATGAACCATACTGATTCTGAATACGATCATAAAGGATCGGCATAGGTTTTTATACACTAATTTTTATAGAAAACTGACTTTTTAGACTAGCAAAAACATTTTGCTTAAGTCTTATTGGATCTATTCAGTTTATAGGATAAATCGACTTGTCTATAAGACAATAATCAGTTCTAAGTAAAACAATATCATCTTGAAGATTTTGACAGTGATATATTGATATGAACAACTGTTGCAGAAATAGCACCAGTACCTATTACTGACCGGTTTGCTAGTATATCTTATTAATTTTTTGGCGCTTAGTATCCCACAGAGGATTTGCAATGAA